TTTGGTGAACCGATGATATTTACCACCACCATCTGATTGAAAAATCTTAATGGTAGTATTAAATTGAGTTGAAACAAAGGCAACAAATTGCTGAAACACAGCAAAGGCATCTGATTTAAGTTTCAGAGGATAGATCCATGTATATCTGGTTCGAGCATCAGTAAAATGAATATAGTAGAGATAACCATCACGAGTTTTAACAGGGGAAAGTCCCCAAATATCAGAATATATCATATCAAAATGTGCAGCATACACAGTATCGGAATAGGGAAAGGGTTGCTTATGTGATTTCCCAAGTATACAAGCTCTACAGAAATCAGAAGTAGCAATCTTATTGAGAGGCACTTTACAATTCTTCATAACAGAGGAAACAACCAAGGAGGACGGATGTCCAAGTCTATTGTGCCAAAGCAGAAAGGAATTACAAGAAGCGTCAATAGAACAGCTTGTATTTGAAACTACAGCAGAGAAACAAGCTTCAGAATGAGGCTTGAACTTGAGGTCCAACGCAGGGTACATCCCATTTCTGACATTGCACTGATAGGGAATTCGGTTAGTTTTAGGATCCCTGACGCGACACTGTCGTTCATCAAATTCAACCGAGACTTTGTTATCATAACAGAACTTGTAGACAGAAATTAAATTCTTAATGATTCGTGGCACATGAAGAATGTTATTCAGTTTAAGAGAAGGAGAAGTATTGGAAATAACAAAGGTGCCAACAGATTTGATAGCCAAACCTGGACCATCACCAACGTGGACTTGCTCCGGTCCAGTATACTTTGAAGATTCAGCTAGAGAAGTCGGATCATGAGTAAGATGACTCGTTGCTCCAGAGTCAAAATACCAGGATGGATCAGCAACAGTGTCAGAAGTAGCAATGAGAGCAGACTGTTTAGCAGGTACCGTGGAAGAAGACGAATCAGAAATAGAAAGACCTTGGAAAGATTCATCAAACCTGTACTAGCACGAAGAAACAATGTGCCCTGTCTTGCCACAAAGCTGACAGATCACCTTTGACTTAGTAGAGTTGTTGTTATTGCCACGACCACCATGCCTTCCTCCTCGTCGACCGCGATTACGACCACCACGACTTTGTTAAGGAGCACGGTTTTGAGCAATATTTGCCATAATAGGAGAGACCGCCAGTACAGAGCGGCGATTCTTTTCAATGCGAGCCTCTTGTGCCATGAGTAGTGCTTCGATTTCAGCTACAGTGTAGGGCTCCAGCCTAGTGGAGATTGAGGTTATGAAAGGATCATAATCCTCAGAGAGACCATCGAAGATGAACTCCAATTGATCAGAAAGAGACACCGACGAGCTGATTGCAGCTACATCATCAATGCTAGCCTTAACCTTTAAGAGATATTCATTCATAGACGAATTCTCTTTCTTCGTATTCTTCAGAGTCGTTTTGAGCTGCTTCCCCTTAGCTTTGGTCTGTGAAGCAAAGAAGATGCTGATTCTATCCCAAATCTGAGCAGTAGTCTCACATCCAATAGTACGAGTGAGGACCGAATCGGACATGGAAGAAAGCAGCCAGGACATGAGAAGTTGATCCTGACGCATCCACCTTGTATATTCAAAGGTAAATGCAACACACTGATCATCATGAAGTTCAAATTGCTCAGGCGGAGCAATTGATGAATCAAGAAATGATTCGAGAGCATATCCTTTCACCGCACTAAGAACTTGTTGCCGCCGGATGAGAAAGTTGGAATCATCAAGCTTGACCGAAATGGAATGAGAGAAGGCAACAACTGAATCAGAGGAAGAAACGATTGGAAGCGAAGACGGAGAAGCCATGGATCGTTCTGTGGCTCTGGATACCATATAAAGAATCTGAATGTGATGATTTATTAATGTGTAAATTACAGCTTTATATAGCCATCAGGCTTGTACACGTGTTACTACGCTAACTAATCTGACGGTTACAACTGAAACAACTTGATTCAAATATGCCAGCTAATATACAACTAAAATATTATTTCTAACAATAACAAACCATATGAAGTTCAGACGCAGCATACACCCTTCGGGCATGTGTGAGAGATGCAACTTAAACTTGGAGGATAGCCTTCACGCCCTTCGGACTGCAGTACTGTCAGGAACGTTTGGGAGGCGCTTATTGCTCCCTCATTTCGTACTCGCTTCTTCTCGACTAATCTCTCCAACTGGCTTCAGCTCAACATGTCAAAACCAGTAAGTAAAGAGACATGCTACTGGAAAGGGCTCTTCGTGGTCATTTGCTGGCTGATATGGCAAGATCGCAATGATTGTCTCCATCATAACACAACCTCGGCTGCCACAAGTATTTACGCGAGAGCGTCGGCAATCCTGAACAGCACCACTGCAACCCAAAGGAAGCTTAATGGAACCACTCTGTCCCCAAATACGACGCCAATGAACGCCCACACACCCCCAGAAATGGAGTTCAACAGCTGGGTTGAAGTTGACGGAGCCTTTTCCTGGCTCAGTATGGTTGCGGCTTGCGGTGGTATCATTAAGGATTCCAATAGAAATATCATCGGAGGATTTCAACTGAAACTTGAAGCAGGGGATGCACTAACTGCTGAGCTATGGGCATGTCTAATGGGTCTCAAAAGAGCTTGGGACAATGGCTTTAGGAATATTCTCCTTCGAAGCGACTCACAGGAAGCTCTGAATCTGCTGCATAATGAACCCCCAGATTTGCATGGAGACTTCATGTTGCCTAGGGAAGCTTTGGAGATGATTAAACGTGATTGGAGAGTGGAGCTTTGCTATATCCAACGTAAGCAAAACACGGTAGCAGACACCCTCGCCAAGAGAGCCCTTGGAGGAAGCACGGCTCTGCTTCTTCTTCACTTGGACTCAGTGTCTCGTATCAGGACCTCTGACCCAGGGGACTGAGTTTTATCTAGTATTTTTGTTTCCAGTTTTATCAACAACAAAAAAAACTATGATGGGTGGCCCATAATTCAGTAGCTTAGTTTTAATTAGTTTATTAATGACGATCAATCATTTAATTAATGATTTAGTGTTGACCTTTTAATTTATTTTTTTAATTTTGGAATTTAAGATTCTGAGATATTAATGGGTTTTCACCTCTTTAAATATTAATAAGGAAAAAAAAAAAAGAGACAAGAACACTTTTTTCTTTTGAAAGGAAGGATGATAGTAACCGAAATTCCTTTTTTGGCTAATAGTTTTTTTCCTTTCCTTGTTCCTTTTCTTTTCTTTAATATTATTTTTCCTGTGACTACTGAACTTTCACTAGGAACTTCCATTCAAGTCATGTGGGGCAGAGAAATTTGAGAAAATCACAGATGCAGAAACACGTGTCAGAATTTGAGCAAGAAAAAAAAATGCTTCAACTTGATTCAATAGTCTTTGGCGTCTAATTAAGCACCCATCAATTGTCATTGCGTGGGTTGCAGAAATCTCACAAAATGTCACAGAAAATGGTCCACTTACAGAAAAATTTATCAATGAATTAGAAGCTTAAACGACTAAGGAAAAAAATCAGTGAATAATTTGTCAAATCCTTGGCAACTAAATGACTACGACTATTCCAAGTCACTGGAGTAACAAGTTCAAGAGTGGTATCTGTCTCAGTTGGAGTCAGCAGGCAGCAGCGGGGGCAAAAGTTGCCTTGTCAGTGAGAAGATGGCTGTGAAGAACAATGCTTAGTTTATGTTAATATTAGCATAAGATAGGTGAAATATGGGTCTTTCTCTTCCTTGTAAGGAAAAGGTCGTCTTTACATATTTCTAATTAACTTGCCTTTTGGGGATGTTTCATCTGCGAAGAAGAACAGGCAAATAGTTGCCCTTCACAGCCTTCGAAAACCCATAATCTCTGCCTCCTTTTGCTGATAATCCACGTGTCATTCGCCATTAGTCATGATTAAAGTTTTTAGTCATGATCCCTAGTGCAATTTTAAATAATAAGCAATATGGTAATTTGATTAGGAAATTTAATGTCAAGAAAGGACTTAGGATCTCCAACGTAATTAGCTCATCATTTTGTTTGACTTTTGCATCAATCCTATATTTTAGTGGTCCTCCTATGTGATCTCTCTATTTTTCATCTCAAATAATTACTTTGGAATTAAAAATACAATAGTTTAATTACTATTAGTTTAATCATAGTTCAACCATAATTTTACTATTGACCATGAATATTTTGATTGGTTTAATCACTGATATGGTCTTTAATGGTTCAATAAAAAATGTGGCTAGGAACCTTATGAAGTTTGTAGAATCGGAAATTATTGCTTTGAAGCAAATCTTTTTTCCCCCCTCCAAAAAAGAAGTGCGGTCCTGTCTTATCACTAATTTTGATTTTTCAGGCTAGAAGCTCAAGTCTGAATTTAGTAGGCCATGTTTGTCTAGGAATGGTTTGAAATGATATTTTCTTATCTGGATGGTTAAGCATTATTGGTAATGCAAGTGTATGTTCATGATAAATAATAGTGATGAGAAAAACATCATTTTTACGACAATTTGTTATATCAAGTAATGATTATAATGCTTTCACCTAATTTGAGGCCACATATATTAAGAGTGAAGAAAACCACATGTCAACTTAGAAATTAATAAGAACAAATTACTCTTGAATTTCAAAGATAAAATGTGTAACACCTTATATTTTCTATGCCACCTGAGTCCATTTACAATAACTTTGAACCACCAAGTCAGGTTTAATCCTGAGAATATAACACTCTTCCATAAATTTTCATGTAAACATATCTCATACACAAGGTTCGATCTGTATAAAGAATGGGATTTTCTGAATAATTTAAGACTTTTTAAAACTATTTCGAAAATACGTGTTCAATGTTTCAAACACCCAATTTAACCCTTTTCACCTAATCTAACATAGTTATTACGAAAGCCTGTCTTTAACAATAATAAAGTCTTTCTTAGCTAACTGATTGATTTACCTATCACCACAATCGTTATTCATTATTCATTTGTTTACGAGCACGATATATGCACTTGCTCTTAACTACTTTGTTTGATAGTATAGTAAGTTGATAACACTACTAATCTTCCCCCACCTGGCCATCAAAGCAGATGGCACTCATTTGTCAATTTCAAGAACCATAACTTCCTCTTTATAGAGGAATTTACATTCCATAGATTCATATAATTACATATCTACATATTTATATGCATTGAGTGGTAGCCATTTTTGGCTAATCAAAAATTATAAGTTCAAACTACAAAGCATAAATTGATGACCAGCCGTACCAATCAGTTCGCCATCCAACCTTCTCAATTTCCCACAATCACCACACTCTTGCCTTTAAAGCCACTTTCTTTTGCTGTATGTCATGGAAGGAAAGGGGTGAGATTCTAAGAATCATAGTAGTAACAACAGTCTATTATACACATATACAAGTTCACAAAGCATGCAAAATAAGCCATATAATAAGTATTTAGCATATTAAATATATCCAGCAAGATTCACACAGTATATACAGTTCATCATGAATCACACAGTTTTAGTATTCACACAGAATACAAGTTTGAGAGAACAAAGTGCTACTATTCACATCGAATACGAATTTCAGGAAACACACAATTTCAGTATTCACACAAATTGCAAGCTATCACCATTCATAATTGAGATCACACAACTCTTGTAATCAAAACTATCATTCATAATCGAGCATACACTCCCCATAATCAAAACCACCATTCATAATCAAGCAGAATGCTCCCATAATCAAATCCACCATTCGCAATTGAGCACATAACTTTGGCAATCAAAATCACCATTCATAATCAAGCACACAATTCTTGTGATCAAAACTACCATATATTCATTAAAGAATATGGGCATTGGAGCACAACCAGACATGCAGAATTATTACATAAGCATATGAGAGAAAGAGTTATATTACCTACTGACCTTTCCTCCAATTTACCTTCTCCAGAATCCTTTCTTGTTTGCATCTTTAATGGGCTTAAGCAAATATCAAATCCGATATTATATATATACATATAATTACCTTGGCATAATCAATGACGAGGCAATTTCATCAATCTAATTTTTAGCTTTGCTCCCGTACCCTTATCTCCAATTTATAAATTCTTTTGTCACTACCCAGCACAATTTCATCTTATACATCCATTGGAGAAAGCAAAATAAACCAAAGCAATTTCAATCTCTTCTAAAACGGTTTGGCCGAATCGAGAAAGTAGTGAAAATTGTTATATTATGATCCTAATGTTACTAAATACTATAAATGGACTTCTACCACTTTGAGTGGGTAGATAATTATGCTTTCATTCCTAAACACTATAACAGTAAACATTTCCCTCTTAAAAATCACAAAACCTCAAAACCAATAAGCATTTATCTTCCTTCCTTCATATAGCTTTCTCAAATTATCATTGTAATCTCTAAAGCTTCCCATTACTGCTGCCACTACTTTTATAGACTTGAACACTTTATTACTATGTAATATATCATTAAACTCAACCTACTATTCTAATCTATATGAATTTTTGTTTCTTTTCAAAGCTTCAAACATTAATTTTTTCCTAGTCCTTCTAGTTTCAATTAGCAATTAAATTTTGAAGAACGTGCAATAGTTTCCTTTCTTCCTCATTTCTATATATCTAACGCCATTCACACCAACACTACACACTAAGTGCATGCATACATGTGTGTGTGTGTGTAACTTCCTTCTTCCCTTTAAAATTTCAGCAACTTGATTCTTAAAACTTCTCTCCCACTGAACCTGATGGATACCCCATAAACCAGAAAGCACAAGCTCTGTTTCGGCACAGCCATGAACCCCGGCCCCCCCGCCGGGGGGGGGGGGGGGAGCCCACGCAACCCCATAGCTTACTAAATCAAGCCTCTATCTCCACTTTACTACCTTTATTCCAGCTAGATACTAACTTTCATCCATGACCCAGAAATTTAAACCATCATAATCTCTTCCAAAATGCATTGAATGGAAGAAGAATGATAGGAGGATGATTAGAAGGCTTACCTTGATCCAAATCCAACCTCGCATGTAAGTAATCGGCTCCCACTCAACCTCTTCGCCTTCTTTGTTCTTCTTCCTCTCCTTCCAACTCTCTCAGCTCTCCCTCTTTTCTGTCAGCGTCGCACAGAAATGAAAGTGGGAAGGGAAAGAGTGAATCAGATGGATTTAGCGGGTGAGAGAAAATGAAATTACCAATATGTGCCTTGCTTACCATTTGCTTACAATAATGAAATAATTCCAGAATTTAATCATTGATAGTTTTAATAACTTTCCTCCCTTCACTAGCTTTTTTAGACCATAAAATAATTCTTTTAAAATTTTTGGATCAAAATGTAACTTCAAACTTTTTTTCTTGAATTTTTTTTTAAAATAGTCCTTAGTTCCAAAAAATTAATCCTTAATTCACTTTAAAGATTTTATGCCTCACTTAGCTACTTTACCTCATAAAATAGTTATCCTAAATTTTTTAGTTCAAATATAAACATCTAACTATTTTACTTGAATTTTTAAGAAAATAGTTTCTTTTAACTCTCAAAATTAAGTTTAAAAAATTATTTACATCATTTTTTGAGAAATAAACTTTTCCATAAAATTTATAACCCCTCACAATTCATATTCTATAATTTTTTTCATTTTACTTAGGCTTTAAATAATTTTCATAATTTTTTTTTGTTTTTGCTCAATTAGAAAATTCGGAGTATTATAATATGAGACCAATGATTATATATTAATACTCCATTTTAGTGGTCCTCATATGTGATCTCTCTATTTTGATCTCAAATAATTAATTTGGAATTAAAAATGCAATAGTTTAATTACTATTAATTTATCATAGTTCAACCATGATTTGACTATTGACCCTTAAACTAATATTTTGATTGGTTTAATGATCGGTATGATTTTTAATATCATGATAAAACTGTGTCTAAGAAGCTTATGGAGTCCAAAGAATTGGGCAACTATTGCTTTAGAAAATCATTTTTTGGCCAAAAAAGAAGGGCATGTTTAGATTTACTTGTGATGAATATTTATAAGTATTTTTATATAAGTTGGTACAATTTTTTTTTCTCATACTTACCTCATATTTTATAAATTACAATTGACAAATCTACTTTTAAAAGATTCAGTCACATTCCTAATGAGCTCGATGCGTGATCAAATTGTCACATCCCTAATTTTAAGGTTAGAAGCTTAAGCCTGAATTTAGTAGGCTATTGACACTAAGAACACTAAGAAACTGTTTAGGAATGGTTTGAAATGATATTTTCTTATCTGATAGTCAAGCATTGTTGGTAAGTTAAGCATTGTTGGTAAGGCAAGTGCATAGTTCATGGTAAATAATAAAGTGGTGAGTGAAGTATTATCTCCATGAAAACTTATCACATCAATTATTAATTATTACACTTTCACCTAATTTAAGGGACAAAAATATTAAGAGTGTAGAAAAATAATTTTAAACTTAGAAATTAATATAAACACATTATTGTTGGGTTTCAAGGATAAAATGGGAGCAATGATTAGTTATCCTTTTGTATTTTTTAACATTCAATTTACCCCATCTCATAAATGTTCTTAATAAATATAAGTGCTGGTTTATGATTGACACGGTATTTATAAAAGCTTTCTCATCAATTCAAAAATAAGTCTTTAATTCTATTAATTGCTCAATCAATGTCCTATTATAATTAATGAAATCCAAATTTAAGCTCTAACTCTAATATGACAATGTAAGATTAGTGTATACGTATATCTATTTTACCAACAAAATGATCTATTCAACAAGTAAACTTTAAGTTCTTACATAATTTAACTCAAGTTATAGCCTCAAGCTAGTCCTCTTAGGAGTCCAGATTCTCTTAGTGGTCCCCTTTCTTAGCGTCCCTCAATGTCCTAATATGATCCGTACAGGTTAATCCAGGAGCTCATAATATGCCAAATCATTATGTTATTAAAAATTAAAAATAATTTTGATTAATACTATAAAATTAGTGAATGGCTTTAAACTATTTTTTTTAAAATTTTTTTGGAGTGAAACAGCTAATACTCTATACCTACTTATTTTAATTGTAGAATTTATTAAGTCCAGAATAGTATAAATTGAGCCAAATAAGACTATAAAGAATGACAAAACTCGCCACCAAGTATTTTAATAAAAAAATTAAAATACTGGGTAAAGTTGTGCTACTCTTTACGATCTTCTCTGGCCTGATTTGTATAAGCTATACTAAGAAAAATAATCTAGTTGAAGCTAGATGGGCCTAAAAAATTGATATAAATATTTGGTGGTTGAGGTTTTTCGTCCTTCATGATGATCTAAATTAGTTTGGACCTCACATGAATCCTCTACTTGGTAGGTGCAAAAAATTAGATATTCCATACTAAAAAAATATTTTAAAAAGGAATCAAACCTGGTAAAAAAATTTTACATAATGATTAAAATTTATTATAATTTTTTAATAGCATAATGATGTGGCGCATTATGAGTTCTCAGATTAATCTTCATAGCTACAATTTTGATGCCGAGAAATGCTGAGAAAGGGGGCATTGAGAGTATCCTTTTCCTTCTCTTTAGTATCACTCAAGTGAATCCAACAATTACAATCTCAATGATTTAATGTGTTAATTTTTAAGGGGACTATATGTTTGAATAACAAGAGACACTACTAGGGGAAAAAAAAAATCTTTTACACTAGTTACAATAAGCATTTGATACCGGAGTTATGCCCAGTGTAGAAATTATCGATGTTAAAAGTCCTATCTTTTTACACCGGTTGTGAAGCCGGTGTAGAAAATGTAGCTTCACACCGGTTGTTATTCCAACAGACATAAAAAAATAAAATTAAAAAAACAAAAAAAGATATGTGATTTTATCATATTTGATAAAATCCCAGAAGAAATTGTGATTTTAAATCACAACTTCTTCTAAGATTTTATCAGATCTCATAAAATCATAACAAACAATGAAACAATCCAACAAATAAGAAATAGCATAAGAGTAAAAACAATTAGATCTAGTGAGACTGTAAAAATACTAATCAAGTTTTTCAAAAAGGATCTCGATTTATATTGGTTCATACAATAAAAATATATTTGTTAGAAAATGTTCAAAATTATTCATTAAACAAACAAATAAGAAAGAGTATAAACTTAAAACAAATATGGCAGGGATGAAGATGAGTAAAGATCTAGGCAAATATGAGCATTTAGATGACAATACAAATATATAATGAGAGCTTGAGATAGCGCAGATCAGGATGCTACAAGCACAAATCTTGATGCCGTGAGCATAGATCTAGATAGCATGAGTATGAATATCTATGTGACAATCATGGAGAAGTCAATGAACCTGGAGAAAATGACAAGTATGGAGATGAAACGCTATAAAAGAGATGAGCACAAAAAAGATATTGATGTTACAACATAAAGTAGAAGAGTATGGAAAAGAGGACTAGCATTACGATTACTCGTGAATGAAACACAGAAAGGAGATTGTGAGAGAACTTAGAGAGGTTTGGAGAGAATGAAGTTTGATTTAGAAGAGGCAACCGCAAAACAAAATAAGTTAAACCTTTTTGTTTCAAATCACTTTTTTAGAAAGCTTGTAAACATTGTTTTTTTAAAAAATATTTTTAAAATTTTTTACACTGATTGTAATAAATATTCAGTGTACAAAACATATTTTAGACCGGCTATATGAGGAACCTGTGATATCCTAAATCTTAAAAAAAAAAGTTAAAAATTAAAAATAAAATAATAATATTTTATTATTATAATAAAATAATAATTTTTTTAATTTTTTTAAAAAAGTCAACTTCTAGTTGGGGGTTAGGAGAGAATCTATTAGGGGGAAACCCCCCTAATAAATATGTGGGGGTGTTAAAATAACCCCCACAATTTGGTTTTCACCGCGCACAGGAGAGGAAGAGAGAAATAGTGCGTGAGAGAGGAGGGAGTAGACTAGTGAAGAAGAGGGCAAACTTCGAAAGTAATTTAGGTACATAAAATTACTTCTTTTTATCAAATTTTTTGTGAATATTTTTATATATTTTAAATTTTCTAATGACAGTATTACTATAGCGATTAAAAAAATTTTTGAGACTTATATATGATATAAGTATTGAATTTTGATAATAGATGATTATAAAAATTTAGATGTAAATGAGTAGTTAATTTTAATCAGTTTAGATTTGTCCATTTGTTAGTTTTTAATATTTAAATTAATTTTTTTAGTTGAAAAAATCTGTTATATATGGCATATATTATATTTTTATCGATTAAATTTAAGTTACATAATTTATTTGAGTCGTTTGACATATTATTGAAATTTTAATCAGTTTAGTTTTATTATTAGATGACTGGAGATTTTAAAATAATTATTTTAACTAAAAAATTTATTGTTTATGGAAAAATATATATTTATATGATAGTTATATCATTAAAATTTTGATTAGATTATTTATTTATAAATATTTGAGGTACTATTAAATTTTTGATGGTTTAATTTTGAGGTTTAAACTTTAAATAGGATTTTTAGAATTTAGAATATAATAATTTCATATTTAACCATTTTGGAAAAATCCTTTTTATTAAATTAAATAATTCGGAGGTTGTAAATAAATAATTTGACTTGTTAGAAAATTTTAAATTATTTCTAAAATAGTTAATTTTGGGTTACGAGAGTTGCGGGAGTTTAAAAAAAATTAAATTAAATTATAAATTTAACTAATATATATAAGCTTAATTAATTAGCTTATATTAATATGTAGTTATTAATTGTGTAGATTAAGTATTAGTTGAACAAAGAGTTGACCTTATGGTAATTAATGATGCTTCTGTCGTTAAAGCACTTAATTAAACTAGGTTCTAATTAATTTGTAGTTTAGGATCGATTTAGGTCATTACTTCCAAGGAGCAAGTTATGTGTTTCTTTAAGTAAAAATTTAGGTGATAAAAAAAATACAATAAATTGGACCTAACTAAAATGCAAAACTCTAATTCTAAGTACAAGATGCAAGCGTCCTAAAATCTATATGAAAATTAAATTAAACTTAAAAAACGAATGCAAAGCAATTTTTGGGGGGGCGGATTTTTTTGTTTGAAGAAAGAAAATTAAAATGATAAA